TATGTAGAAGAACATTCACTGTAGCACTGTTTATAAGTAGATCAGAAACAAATGAAACATTCATCAACAGAGGACCAGTCAAATAAATTAGGATTCATCTATATAGGTTTTTAAAGATCAATGAGGCAGATCTATCTATCTATCTATCTATCTATCTATCTATCTATCTATCTATCATCTATCATCAATGACTCAATGCAGAGAATTACCTCTAAGACTGTTTCATACTGCTTTGTACTGTGAAAAAAAACAAGAGAATAACAAGTACATATATGATTACACATGCATAGACTATCTCTGGAAGGCAACTAAAATTGGAAACAGTATTTGCTTCTGAAAGGGGTACTGGGGGAAAGGTTTAGGAGTGATAATATTTATTATGTAACTTTTTAGGCTGTTTAACTTTTGTATTTTTTACCTTGTACTTATATTTTAAGAAAAAGAAATCTTTGAAGGTTTACTATGTGACAAATATGTTCAACAACAATGAATATCAAAACAGACTAAATACCTCCACCCATGCATGAGCTTATTATATTGGGAATGGGGGGTGGGTGGGTGTCAAACAAACATGTCAACAAACAAACATATAATTCATTATAAAGAAAGCAGGGCCCTGGCTGGTTTTGCTCAGTGGATAAAGTGTCGGCCTGAGGACTGAAGGGTCCCGGGTTTGATTCTGGTCAAGGGCACATGCCCAGGTGGTGGGCTCAGTCCCCAAGGGGGGTGGGGGTAGGGGTGGGAGGCAGCCGATCAATGATTCTCTCTCATTGTTGATGTTGCTCTCTCTCTCTCCCTCTCACTTTTTCTCTGAAATCAATTTAAAAAAAGAAAAGGAAAGGAAAAGAAAGCAGATAATGAGAGATAGTGGTAAGTTCTATGAAGGAAATAAACAAGATAGATCAGGTCACTGAGGGAAGCTACTTGAGATAAGGTGACCCTGGAAGGTCGTCAAGGAAGAAACATCTGGGCAGGAAGCTGAAGGATGAAAACAAGCCAGTCTGCAAGATTTGGAGAAGAGCAATCCAAGCAGAGGAAAAAACAGTTACAAAGCCTCGGAAGCGCAGAAGGGCTGGGTATACTCAGCGGAGAAGCGCAGGAGGAACTGGAGGAACAGAGACAAGATAGTGTGACTGGAATGTAGTGAGCACAGGAGAGGAATGAATGAAACGAGGTTGAAGAGGTAGGCAGAGACAGAGTCCTGTAAGCCCCAAGGTAAGGAGTTTGGATTTTATTCAAAGAATGAGAAGCCACTGAAAAAAAAATTTTTTTTAATATATCTTATTGATTTTTTTACAGAGAGGAAGGGAGAGGGACAGAGAGTTAGAAACATCGATGAGAGACAAACATCGATCAGCTGCCTCCTGCACACTCCGGCACTGGGGATGTGCCCGCAACCAAGGTACATGCCCTTGACTGGAATCGAACCAGGGACCCTTGAGTCCGCAGGCCGATGCTCTATCCACTGAGCCAAACCAGTTAAGGCCCAATGAAAATTTTAAGGAAGAAAGTAACATGACCTGTTTATATTTAATAAACAGGTCATCGGGCCACTTGGTAGAGAATGGACTGCAGGGGAGAACAATGGAAGAAGGGAAGAGACCAGCTTGGATGCTGTAGTTCAGACAGAAGACAACAATGCTTTGGAATGGGGGAGGTAGAAGATATGGACAGAAGTAAACATATTCAACATATATTGTAGATGTAGAATGTGCAGAACCTGTTAGTGGATTAAATGTTAGGAGTGAAGGAGTGGTATCATCAATTTACAGAGATGGGAAGACTGAGAGGAACACATTTAGGTGTGTATATGGCAGGTTGCAGGGGAATCAAGAGCTCTGTTCTGGAGACACTATGGTAATTTTGAGATGTCTACTAGGCATCCCAGTGGATATCAAGTAGGCAGCTGGAAATAGGAGTCTGATACTCAGAGGAGATCTGGGTTATTAGCTCTCTTGACAGTTGACCTTTCTTTCCCTCCTTGCAACTCTCTCACCTCTTTTGTTTTTGTGACACCAACATTTTCTGGCCCTTCTTCTATCTCCAGCAGTTCTTCCTCCTCCCTTTCCTTAAAGTTTATATTCTGTACAGATCCCCTCTGGACCTGCTTTTCTACCATATGTTATCTCTGGGCTGCTCATCCCAGAGACAACATGTAGCTGAACATTTGAAGTAAAGAACTTCCAAATACACTTACATACTCCAATACGTATGGTGACCCCCAAATCCATAACTTCAGTCCAGATTTCTCCCCTGATCAACAGACCTTTATGTCTAACTGTATGTAGGACATTGCTACCTGGCTGACCAAATACCTCAAACTTAATATATCCAAAAGGGAATTAATCTTGCTTCTGTGACTTGTGGGTAGTACTACCCACTTAGCTGGTTAGTATTACTATTAAATTTTATTTTCCCCAGTGTGCCTGAAGACCTTCCATACAAGAAGAAAAGCAAATATAAGATCATGGACTCATCACCCAGGAGCCCCAGACACTGGCTCAATATTGTGCTGTGTGTTTTCTGTGTGTCCCTCCAGGGCCACTCTTCACCCTTCTCCACCCTGCTTTCTGTCACAGAGGCTTTCTGACACATCAAGTGGATCCTGTGGCCAATGGGGAGCCCTGGTAGGTTAGAGGGAGAGGACAGTGATGTCCAAGTACTATTACTCTGGCTCTCTTCCTGCAAACTCCAATTCATTTAGATACAATATGATTATATTTCTGAAATGAAAGACAGGATGGATTTGGAACAGAACGGGGAGGTTGAGGGCAGTAGGAGAAGTAATGAGACCAATGAAGAAACTTTTTGTTATAAAAGAACATGTTGAGAAGTAATAAGGGCCATTAGAAATACACATTCTTTGAAGGTTGGCCTCAATGTTATTATCTCCCTGTCCCCAATGTCTAGTTCTGCTCCCCAGTGTAGGAAATAAACTCATCTTATTATTTAAATAAGAAAGGAACATGTAAATAAGCAAAGAATAGGAGCAGTGATAACACTGCTGTCATTCAAACCTTGTATCCGTTATCTTCTTTGCGGTTGTGAGATGCTGTAATCATCACACCTGCAACTGCTTTGAGCTTCTGGACTGCATATGGCTGAAAAAACAGCAACAGCATAATTTCCTGGCTACTCATACATGTGACATTAGAATACCTTTGACTAAATAACAGGAAAAGACATCAAGATATAAATAGCCTACAACCTCAACCATCAGCTCTGGTTCATTGGGTGGGGCCCATCTCTAAAAGGTCAACAGTAACCACCTGCTAGGCTGAATGGCTTTTCCCCGCTAGTCTCATTTAACTTAGTCCTATGTTTTTTATTACTTTGTTCATTTAACAAACATTTAATGAGCATCTACTATATGCCAGACACTCCACTAGACTCTGGAGATATGAGTGATGAATATAATCATAAAATGTTAGAGCTGGAAGTAAATTTAGAAATCACCTAATCCAAAAAATTTTACACTGAGGTTTATCCAACATTATACAATCATAAGGGAGGGAGGAGATTCAAGGGTAGAATATAGGTCTCTTGCCTTCCAATTTGAAAATCTGAAAAAAAAATTGAAAATCTGTATATATACTCTGTGGCCTCTATATCATATAAAGGTCAACTCACCATCTTTGTTGTCAAAGTTAATTCCTAGAGGTTCAGTTTCGCTTTTTCTTTGTAGGATGTTCCCTCTACTCCTCTACCATTACATCCAACTTCTCTCCTCCTGGCCATGGAGGGATGGACATGTGGTCCAGTACTGACCAGAGTAACTTATCCCTTGGTTTAACTCAGAAACTGGTTCATAACGCCAGCCTCTCTGCTGAAGGTACACCAGGAGGACTGCCTTTTAACTCAAGGTTATGTTGATAAAGGCTGTGACTCTGGGACTGCTAAAAATACCTTCCCCACCAGCTGAGCAAATCTACCTTCAGTAAGAGAGGAAGGCCACACAGGGATTGATAGAGTTGGGACTGGCAACCCAGTGGCAGAATCCTATAAAAATGTTCCAAATTTCTGGATCCTTCCTGGTTTCTGTAAATCATTAGAACTAATTATTTAATAACTCCTTCATTTCTTTGAGCCACTCAGTATTTTTCCAGTAAATCACTAGTTACCATTTATAGAGATATTATCTCTTCCTCAAACATTTGGTAAAACTTGCCTATAAAGTCACCTGGAGTTGGCATATTTAATTTGAAAAGATTTAAAAAATATATCAGTTTAATTTCTTTAGTGGTTAGACACTTATTAAGATTTTCTATTTCTTTTTATTTATTTATTTGTTAATCCTCACCTGAGGATATTTTTCTATTGATTTTTAGAAGAGTGGAAGGGATGGGGAGAGACACAGAGAGAGAGACACATTGATTGGTTGCCTCTCATAGGGTGCCTTGAGCAGGGCCAGGGATGGAGCCTGCAATTGAGGTATGTGCTTTTGACTAGAGTAGAAACTCGAGACCCTTCAGTCCGTGAGCCAATGCTCTCACCACTGAGTAAAACTGGCTAGGGCCAGGTTTTCTATTTTTTACCAGTTTTGATGTATCAATTACTATAGGAAATTGGGAAATTCATCTAAGCTTTTACATTTACTTGCATTATGTTATTCAGAATATTGTGCTTTTCTTAATCTCTACTGTATTTATTATTTTCTTATTAGTTTCTTCAGAGAGCCAATTTACTCTTTTGTTGGTACTCTTTTCTTTGTTTCCTATTTGATTTTCCTTATAGCTTTATTATTCCCTTCCTTTTACTTTATTTGGACTTATTCTGTTTTCATTCTAACATACTAAGTTCAATAGCTTAGCCCATCATTTTAAATATTTTTTTCCTAATTTATTCACAGACTATAAATTTGCCTTTAAGCAGGGCTTTAGTTATAGCCCATAATTTTTGCTACTTATTGTTGCTCAGTTTTAAATACAGGCAGTCCTTGCTTTGCACAGTTCCAATATACACAAATGTCTGACACCATGCTTTAGTTAAATAATCCTAGTCTCCTAACAACATGTTTAAATTTCAGTGACTATGCTATATTAACTATAGCTTGCAAAAATGGATAACTGAAAGAAGGAACTAGCCAACAAAGATGAAAATGCAGCAAAAACACAAAAGTGATAATGGTGGAAAGAAATTTGAATTGAAGGGCAATAGAATTATAGGAAAAAATAACTGGGAATGTTGATAACACTGCTGTCATTCAAAAGACTCTAGATCTGCAACCAGAAGAGCCTAGTGAAGGCGAACGTATGGATTGAAGTGAGAGCTGTAGTAGTGATGAAAAGGATGACGATGTCCCAGAGGAAGTGATACTGGCAAAAAACAAAAAACAAAAAAAGGAATTCTCAGAGAGAGTTCATAATATTGAAAGTACCAAGGATAAAATGTGGGAAGCTGATCCAAACTTAGGAGTGTGACAATTCACTAAGGCATAGAAAAGATGCTCATCAAATTGTTAAGGGATATGACAAGAAGCAAGCATTGGTCATACTCTTAATAAGTTATTTTACAAAGGAATAAAACTCTTTAGTCCTCAATATTTTAAATTACAGTGTACTAAATAAAGAACAGGTTTACTATTTTTTATTTTCCCTATACGTTTTTAAATCAGTTAACTGCCACGCGTCCAAAATGGAAACCATCCCCACATGCCACAATATTTTGAATATACTGGAACATGACATTGTTTACAGATGTATTTGGTTTCTTTTCGCTGTTTTGTACCAATAGTAGTAGAAGAGCATACCAAATGCCTTTTCCACGTGGAGGTTTGCAGCTATAGACGCGTGTGGCGTGTGCGGAAGGTCCGCCGCTTGCGTCTACAGACGCTTATGGTGTACAAAGGGACCCAATAGTAAGGTTTACAAATGTTTAAATGTTTTGACAAAAAATTTTAAAGTAAGGGTTAAGAGTGTTTTTATGTTTTGACAAAAAAAAAATTAAAGTTTACAGAACAATTTTCCCCATTAATGATTTAGCTCGATTTCTATGGTTTTACAGTCCTGTGCCACCATGCAAAGCAAGGATTGCCTGTAATTTTTAATCTTCCCTTTGAATTTCTTCATAGTGTT